GGAATCTTACTTACCAGAGAAGCTCTCAACTCCTCATGGAACTTTGAATTAAAGGCAGAATTTACGATGAAAAGTTAGCTCATTGGAAATAAGGGTAGAGGTGGTCAGTGGAGCAGGGATGAAGAAGAAACCATTTGAAACGGCCCGAAACCCGAGAAATGGGACCCCTTCCTTGCCCGTTGATTTGCGCATTGATGCGACTCTCATCGCTGTGCCCTCTTCAACACTACGCTCTCTCTGCTATCTAATCACTCGCCACGTATAGACCTGCGGCGAGTGATTAGATAGTCGGTGGGCGTACCCCGCCAACCGCGCCAAGAGTGAGCCATGCTAGATCGCCGAGGTCAAATCTTTCGCTGCCAATTGCGCGTCGGTCAGCACCCTCAGGAGGTCCGCCTGTCTCCCAACTATGCAAATTTCCCTTCTTTGACCTTCGTTCTTATCGTGAATTCCTCCTTAACTTGTAAGACCCAGATGTATCGATCGAGCTCCAAACGCTGGTTACAAATATGGAAACTGAAACTGTAAATGAACTTGCTAAGGAAATTGTGAGCAGTCAAATTCAGTCAGGAAAGCGTTACATGTGAGTCTTGCTAGTCTCCGGACCTTCCGAGCCGCCGTAGAACTAGAGCAGTGGTAGTGCTCTCGCTCTGTAGCCGGTAAGTCATGAGTTCTCTTCCCGTTGGAGTCCAGATTTCGAGAGCACTACCACTACTCCACAGCGACTCTGATACCTATGTAAATATCTGCTAGATTTGACTGCTCACAACTTCTTGGCAAGCTTATTTTGCAGTTTTAGTTTCCATTTGTTAATCACCGTTGAAGCGCTATGAACATGTCTAGGCCTTGATTCAATGCTCCATGGGAAGTTAAATGCCTTCCCTGGTTGGTTTGAGGAAATATTTTCAGAGAGTTTCAGTAGTATTAGTTGACAGGTGTATTGTTTTTGAAATCAAATTCGTAGTTTGACATTTTGATTCAGGAAGACACTGAGCTGGAGAAAACTCAGTGGGAAGTGACACCTCCAGGCTCTCCAGTCAAAAAAGCGGAAGAAGTATCGTCGGCTCACGAAAGCACCCTTAACGACGCATTCATCTTAGACCTATCTGCTACACAGAAGTCAGAGGGTAGGTGAAATACAGAAGAAAATTTGCTGATCCTTGGTGTCTTTTCACGCCAGAAATGGTTTTTATCCGGAGCATGAATATTTGTTCCGCCATAGAGGGTAATGTTTTATTTCCGGCCGGACAGGATGAATTTTAATAAGGAAAAGGTAATGTAATGGCTAAGGGGAGGCTCATAGGGTAGACATAGTGTAATAGAAAGTGGCACCGCTCACCGTGCGCACGGTTCGGGGATTAAATCTGGATTGGATATCGCCCTGGCCAACCAAATTTTCCGTCCTCCCAGGATCGGTGGGTAGCTGCTGCTCTTGTGTGGGAGTATGAGGCACAAACTTTCATATCTGACCCACATAAGTCTGTGGCCATTTTTCTGCCCATGGAATTTAAATGCTACTAAGATCATGAATGGAAGTCAAATGCGTGACGATTTTGGAAAGGGGTTTATTGATCTCAATTGCTGTGGCGTAAAATTTAGCGCTTCTTCCCTTTCAACGTAGTCTTTCTAGAACTTTTTTCCAACGGTTTTTTGTAGCCACAAATATTCAAATAATGTGATCCAGATTTTTTTATTAGTTCACTCGTTCATAATTGAGCGCCTTCACTTCATTTTCGTTTTCTTTACTATATAGTTATTGTTGTTTAGGAACCGTGAACGATTTGGATGAAGTCGAAGAAAAGAATGAGTGGTTAACGGACGATGAACAGCCACCGATGATCGCGGATGTTGCCGAGAAATATTCATCGGTCGAAAATGACAAATGCTATGGCGGAGAAAAGGAAACTATAACTTCCAACAAGAAGCCCTGCTTCTTCGCTCAGTGTTGCGAAGTGAGGAGAAAGCAGAGAGCAATGAAAACAATAGATCCGATGGTCTAGTCTCTGGAGAATGCAAAGACGACAAGGAAAAGGAACGCGTGACGGCAATTGAAAAGCTCGACCTCTCAATTGTTGGGAATGATGATGTAGACAATTCGTAAGTAGCGAGCAGGACGAATCAACTGAAAGGCTTGTTCTTCACAGTTGAAAAAGGATAGTCCGGTGAATCTAGAGATGGATCGTGTAGAGATATCTGAAAGCGTCCATGTAACTGATGAAAAGCGAGTTTCGCCGGAATCTGTCAGTATGGTTGAACAAGAAAGCCCTATAGGGGATGCAGGAATTCAGTGTACTCCAACTCCGCAAGTCATCAAACACTTTGAAGATATAAGGTTGGACATTTTTCTTCATCATTTTTATCTAATATTTTATTTTTGTCTAATATTTGGGATCCTTAAAGTAGAATAATTTTACTTCTGTAGCGTCTTGATCTTTGAAATCACTAGTAGGGTTTTTCATCGAGTCTTCATTTCGGTGTGAAACAATATCTTTTATCAAACGTGATTCAGTATCAGAGATCACGCCCCTACCTCCGTCCACTCAAAATTTGACTTCGTTTGCATTTAGTGAAATTTGGCCTGAGAGTCTGAAAAGCGGTTCTGAAAAAGAAGGGTATGGCAAGGACGTGAATGAGGTTTCTTCCGCTGGAGCGCACCAATGATGGTCGACCGAGCATGGTGGGTGGTCAAGATCTTGTAAGGAGTTTCTAACTCTTCTAACCTTCGTATTTCAGGGTTTGAATCGTAGTGAGCTATGCGACAGTTTGTCAACGTCCATAATACAACTGATGACGGACTCAGCATCACCACGACGTCGTTCATTATCGCAGATAGCGCGCCGCTATGAGTTAAGCGAATCCCTGTTAGAGGATTCTATCAGTTCCTCGTCGAAGTCGCCACGTGCTCCCAAAGAGTAAGTAGTCTTGTAATTCCAGTTTTAGTTACTAGTAGTGATTTGTTTAGACGATTTACAACTAAAATGCCTGCTTCAATTTCACCTCGAGCGAAAGCACTACTGGAGGAAGGTCTAGACTATTCATGGTGAGTGTTGAAATTTGATACTGTCCTTTCTTGAGGGTGGTACGGTGATAACATGAGGGATCCTAGGATTGTCCGTTACGTAGCCACCTGTTGTTGTATCCTACGCTTTGAATCTAACAACCTCTCTCTCGGTAGGAGGCGCTTCCGCCCGGCGGAAGCCGATCCTCACCAATCAACGCGCTGGGCTCGGCTGCCTTTTCGCTACACTAACACAGTCGCTGCATGGTCTTGAACGAAAGCCGGAAGAAGAATGGATTACCGACGACGTATACTTTAGGGTTTAGCCGCGTTTGTTGACGATTTCAGATTTTTCAGGCAGGACATCACTCTTGAGGGAGTCCTTGACCCGCGAACGGTCTCCCTCCAGTCATCTCGGAGATCTTTTACGCGTACGGCCTACCCTGCCTCGCCAAACCCCTCACCCTTTTACGCGGCCATGGGCTGCGTCTACTGGTATTTTGGATTAAGGCAGTCAAAACTATTACCCTTCTAACCACCAAGTCTACTCCAGTCGTCCCCCTCCATCGCCCCCCCTTTGGCGAGCCGACGGTGCGACACAATCGTGTATTCGAGCTGAGGAGTGGCAGCCATACATTATCGCGCCTTCTGTGGCAACAGAGCTCAGCGATGTGTTGAATCGATTGGAGAGTTGAAATTTAGATTTCAATCTGTTTTTTTTTTCCCCGGCATCACTTGCTGTGAATTGACGGAAGTGGGAAGTAGACTCGAGCGGGAGAAACGATTGAACGTGTTGTGAAGAAGCGGAAGCATGGAATAGGAAAGTCCAACTTCTCTTATTTCACACTCTTCTTCTTCTTCTGTGAGCTGATATGTCTGACCCGCCACGCCCCAATCATGGTGTTAGGAACCCGCAACAATTCTCAGTTCTGTGTACTCCGTCAAAGTTCACCGTCATAATTTAGCATCGGTATTGCTACGGGCTTTCGACCTCTGTTCTGCTCTCACTTCATCGAAGTGCGATTTTTCAATCTGAGTGCTCCTTAATGTACTTACCCTTACCCCAAATCTCACTGGCTAAGCAATAGCCTTATAATCGCGTTTAATATCTTGTAAAACAGTCTCAATATGATTACCTTTCACGCAATTTTCAAGTAGTTAATTTGTAACCCATTTTTTGAGTGCACTATTACACAAAATATCAAACTAGCAAAATCAAATCCTTCTTCACAATATATACCAAGAGAAATGCTTGCACCCCATTATTATCTCCACATATCATATAAATGAAATATCTATCGTCATCTTGGTATTAAGACACACATATAACCGGCGCCCCACCCCTGCAGATCATTTCCCATTTTGTTTTCCCGTTATGTGTATCACTAAAGTAGGATGGGAAGGGGGGGAGGGGGTTGTAGAGGTGTAGTGGGCAAGGTTTCGTTGTGTCACGCGCTTTGCATCGAACAACACCCGTGTGAGGTAATAACACAACGGATCGCGAATCTCTCTAACTTCGCGAACAGACCAAAGCCCCCGGCTGCGCACTTAGTGCAACTCGTGCAATATCCGTGCTGGCCACGATTGATTGAGTAACCTCATTCTTGGCTCTTGGTAAACAAATCACGTACGGGTGAAGTGCTGTCCCTTAAACATTTTTGCGGAAAAAGCGGCTGGAGCTGATTACTATGCTACCCGTCATTACAATTTATCCGTATGGCACTCCCGGACCATGGACATTGCTAGCACTCGTAAATCACCATTCTTTACAATGTCAGAGACGAGAAGCATTGGCGCTGCGATACTTGAATGGAAGTGGAATGCGTGGCACATCCAAAAACAATGGGCGGTTTCCTCTTCGCCATTTTTGTAGCGGTTTTCTTTTCATACCTTTCGCGAACGCGGAAGTAATGCGACTTTGGTCAAAAATCTTGCACAATCCGGTTTCTCTGCAATTTCTCTCTTGACGTTTTCCAAAAACGAACCGCCTTACTAAAATCTTTTGAGAAAAAAAATTTCACTTTCATTTCTTCAAAATAATAATTCCTTCTTTTTCTCCATAAATCTCTTTGTTTCTCCTTTCTTTCTGAGGATGAAGGGTTTCAATAAGCCAGATTAGACTTATGCTTGAGAATGCTTGAGAATGCCAGAATATTGTTATTTTCTCGAGGCGTAATCGCAGAAAGACCAAGCGCTTAGCCTCTGTCAGACCTGAGGAACTATGGGTCATTCAGGTCCTATCCACAGTAGTGGAGGAATTCCAGCGGTATGTCTAACACAACCACCTTGTGTTCGTGCCAGTTTTGTTTCTCAAACCTCCATATGAACTCCTTGGTCGCTATCGCAAGAAACGGGGCATCCTCTAAGACTAAGCTAGAAGGCGCAGGAAACTTCGGAGAAAATGAAAAATTGCTCTCAAACTCTGGATTCTCTTCTCACCCCAGCCTAGCCTCATTCTTGTTTTCAACAAAGAGAAGGAGATGTTTTACGTGTTCTAAATATGTTGTTCGCTGCCAAAACAATGCCTCCGCCCCCGTATCTTGTCGATAGATCCCCCTCCATTTTGTTTGCTAGTTCGTCGCCTGGGTTGTTAGTGCGAGGATGATCTGGCGACAGCAAACTCTTCATCCTTCCTTATTCATCTAATGGACTCCATTCAGCAGTGACGACGCAACTGGTTACATCCATGATGGGCCAATGTGTTGACTTCGACGGCGGGCTATTTCCATGACATCCCCCCTTAGTTGGAAGTACCCTGATACGCGCTGTGTTGCACGCGTTTGTGACACATACACTGCACCTTCGACCATACATTGCGGGGGATTCTGAAAACATCCGTACGCAGCATTTCCTCGCCTGACTTCCTCATTATATAAAATATCAGAGTGTCGCCCCCGTCCAACCAGGGAGGGTCGGTCCTAACGTTAGGACTTCTCGGAAATTTTTTACGACCCCTTTCTTCCAATCAAAAATTTCACGACCCCTACTTCACCACCGTCGCCATTCATGGTCGCTCTTTCTATAGTATTTAATTCTGAGACCAGTCGACACACTTAACTCCACCCACTTTTCCCTCCAAAACAGCCGTCAAGCGGGGGGAGGGGTTTACACCTACTCCCATACGATCCCAATTTTCCACACTATTCTCCCTCATCTTCACTAATTTTACTCATATTCACCCAAGAGCGGGAGGCACATCACTCCAGTTTCACCCCAATTTCACATACGAATTTCGCACGACCGGAGCAAGTACGACCCCCTCTAAAACTCAATAAATACGACCCCCCCCCGTTGGTATTTGTCCCATCGTCGAGTTGACCCTGTAACCAGACTCATCCTCGATCAGTGGTGATAGTGATCCATCTCGCATCTAAGCCTTGAGAGAATCGCTTCAGAAAAGCAAAGTGGTTATATCGCGCAAAATTGCACTACTACGACTCCAAAAACTAGAAAAAATCGTTAAGCCAGTGCGTTTAATATATTTCTCCCCAAGGACAATCATCTGCACCATTGAACTTTTCCAACTCCATCAGAAGCAAATTAGGACTGGGAAGTTATTCTTGCCGATACTTACCCTTTCGGAGCTATTGGTCGTTCTGATCATGAATTGGTGGTGACGTCATTCCATGCCTCAGCATTCCTCACCAAATCACTTTAAACTTATTATTTAGGGGTAATTAGTATCCGATCTGCGCGAACATGACCTCCACATTCGGCACCGGAACCATTTGGTGTCAGTTTCGTGGCAACGTTGTCAGAGAACATCAAATGGGCACCTTGAGAGGAATGTAACATTCATGATCAGGCCACTGAATCACCCCCTATTTGAGTCTCAACGATTCCTGCTCAACCCCTCCTACGTTTACAAAGGGAGGTCTTTCAGGACATGGAGCGCTTTTTCGAAACGGTTTTCTGCATGTTGTGGGGCTCATGCAAGGAACACAGAACCATGATCCATTTTTCCTGAACGCCTCCAGGAATGTCAAACAGTGGTGAAGAAATGGTCCAGAGTTCGATCCCCGGTGATGACTAATTTTTGCAATATAGTTTGGCGCCCCCAGATTGCCACCCAAATGGCGCTATGGTAGAGAGTAGATGTCACTGTCGTATTTTGCGGCAAATTTGGAGGCGGCAACATAAATTGCAAAAATTTGTCATCACGAAGACCAAGTTCCTGAGCTCCGAAGAGGGTGCAGAGCCGATCGTGGACGGCCATGGTGAGACCATCGAAAGGGTGGAGGACTTCCGATACCTTGGGAGCGATCTGGCAGCCGACGGTAGTGTGGATCAGGCGGTGAAGGCTCGGGTCAACGCTGCATGGATGAAATGGAGGGAGTCCACTGGAATCCTCTGCGATCGAAGGTGCTCCAGAACGCTCAAAGGGAAGGTGTACCGGACAGTGGTAAGGCCTGCGATGCTCTACGGCAGCGAGTGCTGGCCTTGAACAAGAATCACGAAAGGCAGCTCCACTCTGCCGAAATGAGGATGCTGAGATGGGCCTGCGGCTGGACGCGGCTGGACAAGGTTAGAAACGAGGACGTCAGAGCGGTCATGCAGACTGCCCCTGTCCAGCTAAAGGTACGAGAACAGCGTCTGCGATGGTATGGGCATGTGCTAAGGAGGCCACAGGACCATCCGATAAGAACAGCGATGGACTTCGAAGTACAAGGCAAGCGACCGCGAGGAGCCCCGAAGAAAAGGTGGAAAGACGTAATCAAGAAGGACCTAGGTGAGGTCGCGGCCACGATGGAAGATGCCCTGGACAGAGCAAAGTGGCGACGACTGACAAAACAGCGGACCCTGCGACTGCGCGGGACTAACGCTAGGGAGAAGAAGAAGAAGAGAAGCGTGAACTTTTGACCTGGACGTTATTCGCAGCTTGTCCGTTTTGATTCCTAGAGACGTTCCAGACATTCCTAGAGGCGTTGAGGGAAAATAATGGACCGTGGTTCTATGTTCCTCACATGAGCCTCTACAACATTCAGAAGAGCATTTTGAAAAACGCTCCACGTCCTGGAAGACTCCTTTTGTTAGTCCTAGGGGAAC